TTTTTTAGAGGTTTTTGCTATAGGGTGCATGCACTCGCCAGAAAGACAGAGATAGACAGAGAGACAGAAAGCAAGAAATCACACCCCCAGGGGGATGACCACACCGCAATCCCTTCTTCTCCATTCTCCTCTCGGGATCTTGGGCACGCATCACAAGTGCCTGGCATGAGTTTAAGCCACTGGGTCCGGGACTCGAACCATGGTTGACTACATGGGTGTTCAGCGACATAGCCATTATGCTAACTGCTGGTCCCAGAATGTTGGGGTTTTTAAAGTTTATTATTTCTACCATGTATAAGAGAAACAGAGACAGAGAGGCACCTCCAACAGGGTCTCAATGCCATAATCTACTTTCTGTTTTAGCCAGCCCCAAATCATGAGCATATACCTGCCTGGCATATTCAGGGAGGTCTCTAGTCTTGAACTGAAAGCTCATAGAGCATCGTAGAGCTTCATGTCTTACCCTCGTGCCACTGTCCAGCCTTGTATTAAAACAGAAAAAGTTTTCCAAACCTGTCCGCCATTTTCATGTCTATTACCTGTGTAATTTGTGAGCAATCAGATAAGATGCTCTTTATAATTATACTCTGGGAAGGATTTATTACTTTGTTCCATGGAAAGAATATGAGTAGTAACTTTTTGCATCCTGTCATACATTTGTTAATATAACAGCTCAGGATTTCTAAGAGGCAACTTTGTGGGAATAGGAGTTGTTATTGGATGAAGATGAGGAAATGCTCACCTTTCTATTGGGTGGCTGGTGAAAGTATTTAGTAATATGCACCAACTGTATATGTATTCAAGAGTCATGTATTATTAATAATTGCTATCATATGCATTACTTTTGAACAATAAATTACATGTTACATGTTTTAAAACTTACAACAGTTCAAGAAGACGGACTTCATTATTCCTATTATATGTTTGCAAAAAATGGCCAAAAAGCAGATTAACTTTCCCTCTATTCAACAGCAATAACACTATATGATTATTCAGAGCATAAAGTTTTTCTTATACATCATGCTGAAAGAGTAAGCCCATAGTTTTTCTCCATTAGATAACTCCTGGAGCCCCTTTATCATTCCTTTCCAATCATGGAGATTATAAATTTGCCCCGACCATCTCCTGTTCTAATGTTTGGGCAGCATTGTCATCATTTTTCTTCCCTAGAGGTTATATTGAGACAAAAAGTGGTCCTGAGGGAATGAACTAGTCAAGAAGGAATGACAGAGTAGAACAGTTAAAGCACAGATATGTAGAGCTGATAACTCACCTAGCTGGATAGAGTCAAGGATGCTGAAGGAAAAGATAGCCCTATCTTGGCTCTGGAGTCACTGAAAGAGAGACTGATGCCTCACTCAGGACATCTATGGCTCCTTGAAGAATTATCTACCTTAGGACACAGTGTGTATTTTATTCTTCTCTTATGCCCATCTTCAGTGGCTTTCTCTAACTACAAGAAGTCCCTAACATTTGATAGACTAAAAGCACAGCCAACCGGCAGCAGGGTGAATGGATGTCTCTACTTGACCACTCAGGTGTGTCTGAAGGCTTTCAGGTAAGAAGAATGGGTAAGAGATGAGTAGATGATATACTTGAAGAATCCAAGAAGTGGAAGGTGAAGTCAAAGGTAGGACTGAACACTATTCATATGAAACAATTGTTCTGACAAAGGTCAGAGGTACAGATTGCATTTAATCACAGGGGTGAGATCATTATCTTCAAAAGAGCTCTGGGGTAGTAGGCCATCTCTAGGCATAGCTAGCACCTAAGGTGGAAATCCCTGTTGTCTTGTAACATTGCTATCTGATACTAACTAAAAATTTTAACATTAAAACTGATGATGGTGATGGTGTCAATGCTGATGACTTGAGTGCCTCCTTGATTTCACTTTCACATATGTCATAGACATTTAACAGTATGATGGCCCCCAAAATATTAGGCAAGATATGTCCTAACAGAATCCCTGTAGATAATATATTTGCAGGTGATAACTCTAGATCGTACCACCTTTGGATTGCCTCTGGATATGATTGATCTGTTCAAGGTCATGGTTGTTTCAGTATCTCTAATAACATTTTGCTTCACTTAAGCCCAAAATATCTTCTAAGCCTCATACACTGTGTCACTTTAGATATATTTTCTTGAATTTATGAAATATTACATAGAATAATACAATTCTCAGCAGATTGCTTGTCTTAATATTCAGTAGAAATATAGAGTATGAATACCCTACAATCTGACTTTCAAAAGAGAAGTAGGAAAGAGTTATCTAACAGGAAGTCCTAGCATGCCAGAGCAGGATGGAGACTGAAGAATAATGAAAAATTTGAGAATGGGTATCACAAAAGGATAAAATAATTGCACATAAATGCCCATGTGATGACACAGTCATTGTTGCTCAGTGATAAAGGGACACAGGAGAAGTTTATGACATAAGGAGTTAGAAAGTGAGGGTGATATACAAATACCAGCATTTCCTAATATGTAAAGATTAGTGCAGCTTATAAACTATATAAAGGATGAGAATATACAAGTTAATCATTCTTTTCTCTTCATTGTACCTGTTCCTATAAACAAAAATGGAACCACAATGGAAATTTTCCATCATTCCCATAGAGTGTTATGAAATTCATTATTTTATAATTACCTCTGTCAGAGGAAACTATAAAGTATGATTGTATTGGTGGAAAAAGATTGGAGAATGTATCATGAGAATTTTAGCAAAAGTTTGAAACAGAATATACTAAGTAAAAAATAAAATGAGCACATAGTGCCCAAAGTAACTGGAATTGAGTAGTCATGGTGTTGTCAAGTAAATAAGGTTGATTGGACTACTGCTTTAATGCCTGTCTTCTCTGGTGTGTGGAGAAACGTGCCTCTTGTACTCTCTACAGCACATCTGATCTGCTGGGAGAACTGAGCCCTGAGCACGCAAACCTCAAAGTGCCTTCTTATAACTTGGTATTGTGTTCTTTTTTTGTTAAATTTTTAATTTAACTTTTTTCCCCCTTTTCTATAAAAATTTTTATATCTCCTTGTTTTGTTAGGAATTTTTCCAAATTTTCTCTTAACAGGAGTAATTTTTCTTTTCATAACTTCTGTGGAATAGTATACCACTATCTCCTTAATACACAAGCCTTGTATTTTTAAAACTAAACTATGAATAGATTCCTCTTACCCAATAGTTTCACCAAATTTCAACTTAGGTCTGTTATTTCCTAATCCATGTAATATTCTCTAATACATATTTATATTCATATAGGGGCCAGTCAGGGCAGAATTCACAACAAAGCTCTTTGAAATTATCTAACTTATACTTGCCATTTTAGACTTAACTCAAGAATGACCATAAATAAATTTTCCCTGACTTCTCTGGATAAAATTAGATTCCTCTTCCTGTTTTATGTCACTTTGGGCTTTAATATTCTCTATACATGGTTAAAATACACTTAATTTTAATTTTAGCTCTTTACCATTAGGTTGTCAGAAAACTCATGACACATTTTACATAGAAAAATGTCATGACTTTTCCAATGATCTGATAGTTTGTAAGTATCTTAAGGCATTTATTGTACATTTTCTTTTTATTTTATATCAATACCAGTTTTCCTTTAATAAAATACATAGTCAGTAACTGTTTAATACATAAAGAATAAATTAAATGGTAAAAAAATAAATATAACTGGTAACTAAATATTTAAGAAGAAGATGAGTGATTGAAAACACTAATAAAACAAAATACAGAGAAGCATAAATAGAAGAAAGCATTGTTCCTTGTTCCAAAGTTGACTTTTAATTTTAATTTTATATGTTCTTCTCTCCCTGCTAGATTGAAGGTGCCATTATAGTCACAATGTCTGTCTTCAATAGCTCTGCTTTATATCCTCGCTTCCTCCTGACCGGTTTCTCAGGCCTTGAGAGCAGATATGGCTTGATTTCTCTCCCAATCTTCTTGGTTTATGCCATTTCAATTTCAGGGAACATCACCATCCTCTTTATCATCAGAACTGAGTCTTCCCTCCATCAACCAATGTACTATTTTCTGTCGATGCTGGCACTCACTGACCTGGGCCTTTCCACCACTACCTTGCCTACCATGTTCAGTGTCTTCTGGTTCCACTCCCGGGAGATTCCCTTCAATGCCTGCCTGGTCCAGATGTACTTCATTCATGTTTTCTCAATCATTGAGTCAGCTGTGCTGTTGGCCATGGCCTTTGACCGCTTTGTAGCAATCCGGGAACCTTTGCGCTATGCATCTATTCTAACCAATGGTGTAATCATTGGGATGGGTTTGGCCATTGCTGGAAGGGCCTTGGCTCTGGTCTTTCCAGCTTCATTTCTCCTAAAGAGGCTTCAATATCGTGCTATCAATATTCTCTCTTATCCTTTCTGCCTACATCAGGACCTCATAAAGACAACTGTATCCAGTCGTCGGGTGAGCAGCATCTATGGCCTCATGGTGGTCATCTTCTCCATGGGGCTTGATTCAGTACTTCTCCTCCTCTCCTATCTCCTCATCCTGGGCACAGTGTTGAGTATAGCCTCCAAAGCGGAGAGAGTGAAAGCCCTCAATACTTGTATCTCCCACATCTGTGCTGTACTCACCTTCTATACACCGATGATTGGGCTATCTATGATTCGTCGCTATGGGCAGAATGCTTCCCCAATTGTCCATGTGATCATGGCCAATGTCTACTTACTGGTTCCACCTCTCATGAACCCTATAGTCTATAGTGTCAAGACCAAGCAGATTCGTGTTAGAATCCTCAAGAAATTCAAGAAACATATTTAGGTAAAAGAGACTTCAAAATTTACATTTTTCTCTCATTCTCTTTATATTTATGAAAGTATTTCATGTTCATATAGAATTTCAAATATAAATATTACTAATAATATTTTGCCTTTTGAGATATTGAATCTAGACCCAGCCATAATGGCACAGGCAGTAGTGTACATCTATATGTTACTGGAGCCATAGAGGAGGCTCAGGTTTGGCTCTCAGGTTAACCTGTGCAAGGTGGGTGTGCCCATTTGTGCATGTGATCCTGGCGGTTTGGGAGACTGGGAGTGGATCATGTATGGAGAGATCCTGTCAAAGATATTTGCCTCTCTCTCTCAATACATCAATAAATAAACTTTAAAAAATACATACTGATGTAAATCTGAACAATGGTGAGTCTTTGTTATTCCAATACAGAGAATTAATTTGTTTTAATTTTGGAGTAGAGTTATTGATTATATATTGTGAAGGCCCTCCATTTCTGAGGAAGATAGCTCTAATATAGACCATGTAGTTCACATAAACAATATTTTTCCACACTATTTACCTCAATATGAAAATGTTAATAAATGCTATTTAAAAGAATTATCTATTTAATTGTATTTATTATTATTTTTAAAAAAAACTTGACCAGAGAAAGAAGGAGAAACAGAGAAAATGAGAAAGCAAGCTGCCAGGTCTGCAACTTAAACCATGGTTGACCATATGAAAGTCAAGCACCTTAACCACCATGCCACTTTCTGGTCCCTAATTCTTAAAATTCTTTTGCATGGAAGATTTGTCCCTTCTCCCTCATTTAATCTATCACTTATTTATAATGAGTTATGAATATTTATTTTTATATGTTGGGTTATATTCAATTATCATTTTATTCATTTCATTTTTCAAATTGTTTCAGCTTTTGGCCTCTGTTTCCGTTATATATTTAAGTTTGTTTTATTTAGCATATCCTTGCTTCCAGGGCTACAAGATGTTCCATGATTAACCTGCTATTCCCTTTGAAAGTCCTAAAATCAATCATCTCTCCAAGAAGTCCTGGTTTCTTTTCATTAATACTACTACTTGAAACCAAGATATGAGTATGGGATAAATTCCTAGCTAATGAGGTGTACTTGGTTCTAGCCCTTCTTGTATGACAAACAAGAGGAATATATGTCTGCATATCAACCCATTTTCATTCACATAATCTATAAATATTTCTATATGTAACCATCTGTAGCTAAACTAAGCATAACATGAGCTCACACTAATGTCTCCAACTACTCCGTTACCACTTGCGCTATTCTAGCCTCTTCCCATTACTTGCCTGTAGAATACCACTGTGATAATAAGAAACTTTGCTCCAATAATCCTTCAGCTATGTAATGAATTGTTAACTTCCAGTACACAAAACAATGTCAGAATTGTATTCTGAATACAAGTCATTGTTTTTATCTCATTTACAATTAGTTTCTCTCAGTCTGTTACCTGTCTTTTCATTCTTTTAATGATGTCTTGCAGAGATGAAGTTTTTAACTTGAATGAAGTTTTACTTGTTGATTTTTTCTCTCCTATATATATGTTTTTAAATTGCCAAACCCAGGTCATGAAGATTTTCTCCTATATTTTCTTCCAGAAGTTTTATGGTGGTGTGTTTTATGTTTGTCTATGAAACATTTTGTTTTAACTTTAATGAAAGATGTAAGCTCTGTGTCTAGATTCTTGTGAATATAGACGTCTAATTGTTCCAGTGCTATTTGTTGATCAGAGAATTTTTCCCTCACTGAATTGCTTTTGCTCCTTTGTCAAACAGTAGTTCACTACAATTGTCTATATATATTTTTGAGCAACTTATTCTCAAATATATGTGTCTATTATTCCCCTTAATCTATGTGTCTATTATTTCAACAAAACCATACTGTGTTTATTTATTTATTTATTTTTTGAGAGGTTTTTCCTATAGGGCACATGCACTCGCCAGCCAGACAGAGAGAGACAGAGAGACAGAAAGCGAGAAATCCCCTTCCGGGGGTGGGGGGGGGATGGCCATGCCTCAATCCCTTCTCCTCCATTCTCCTCTCGGGATCTTGGGCACACACCCACTCACGACCTGTGTGAGTTTAAGCTGCTGGGTCCTGGACTTGAACCACGGTCAACTACATGGGAGTCCAGTGACATAGCCCTTACACTAACTGCTGGTCCAGAGCACTCTTTTTATAAACCAAATTGAATAGAATCCTTTAGGGCCTTTTTGACATAGACATACAACATATAGTACATAACATGACATATTGCATGTATGGATGCACACACACATCAGGAGTGTAAGAGCCAATTTCCCTAGTGTTACTTTGACACTAATACTTTTTAGAGTAACCCTTTCTTGAAATTTTTAATTATACTTTTTGTTTCCTACACTGTTGGAGTTTTTACAATAGAAATATTTCTTATATTTCCACCCCTTCTAAGTGTGATGTATTCAAGTGGCCCTGTCAGTATTTAGATGGGGAGTGAAGCATGCATTCCAAGGGAGTTTTAAAGGAGCTGTTCCAGCCTTCCATGATTTCTAAAAGACAGGTATGCTCTTTGGTCAGGATTTACCCAGGGGCAAAAATTTCTCTAAAAAAATTATTTTTTATTTAACTTTTTGTATAATTTTATTTAACTTTAATTAATTAATTAATTAATTAATTAATTTTAATTTGACCAGAGGGGGTAGATTGAGAGAGAGAGAGGGAAAGTGAGAAAGGAAGGTGCTAGGTCCTGGACTCCGAACTCAGTCAGCCATGTTGTAGTCCAGTGTCCTTAACCACCATGCCACCTGCTGGCCCTTTTATTTAAATTTTACTTATTATTATTGTTTTTAAATTTGACCTTAGAGAGAGAGAGGAAAAGTGAAAATGCAAACCACCAGGTCCAAGACTCGAACCATCTTCTGCTATGTGGGAGTCCAGTGCCATTAACCACCAGGTCATCTGCCAGCCCTTCCTATTTTTCTTTTGAACTTCTGGTACTATTGTTTTATCAAGAGACATAGAAATGATACTTAAGTTATCCAAAGTCATACAACTAGGCTGACAATGTCAGGATTCAAACACCGCCATTCTGACTCCAGGACTACAATTTCACATGCTACTTCTCTACAGGATTGTTCCAAGCAGCACATGTAAAATTGTATAGTAATAGTGGGAAATTCATGTACACAAAAGTGTGAATAAAGGATCATGGCTCTTTGTCCTTATACTAATCAGAGAAACTCAAAGTGGTTATATAGGTTGGAAAAAACTATTAAGGAAAATTATGACCTTGAAAACCATACAAGAAAGCTTTCATATTAGTAGTTAAGTGTTTTAACATGACTTAGCCAATTTCTTCCATATTTAGATGTTCATTGAATCAGTCTATATACTCATACTCATGTAGAGACTTAAAGATCTATTTTTAAATGTGTCAAATATAAATGAAAATGACTGTGTCTTCTGTTTCCACCTGTTTATGCTTACTTACATACACTTGAGTTTGCTTCTGCATTCCTTGGGATTTTCTGTTCCTGGAGCAGAAACTAAGAATTTGTGAGCAGTCTCCAAGGACTCAATTACCATGTGCTCTAAAATTAAGATTAAGATGGGATGTATTTTGAGAAATATTCCCCAGGTTCTAGAAAGCTTATGAAAGTATCCCTTCCAGGAGCTACTCAGAAAGGCAACTGCTGTGCTTCTTGATGTCTTATGGAAATCTTGATTCCTATGGAATAATGAGGTGAATTCGCTCATTTCTGGTGAGTAGATTTGGCAGTACATGAAAAGATGCATGGATGGAAAGGCCAAGAACTGTGACCAACATGCCACAGACAAAAAAAAAAAACTGTAATAAATCATAATAATGTATGCAAAAAATCCTATCACATTAAAGTTTTATGCATGTATTAAATCATAAATTCAAAAAGATACATACCAAATTATTTATAAAAAGTTACATATGAAATTTCTCTTGAGAATTTGAGATATTAACTATCAAATGCTTTGATAAAATCAAGTGTTATGGGATTAGGAAAAATTAGGCTACTGGAGATCAGCTGTTGAGAGTGGGCTCCTAGAATGAACCCCCAAGTAAATAACAGGGACTCTACAGAACTCTATAGAACTTGGTCTTGGTATAGCCTTTGTACTAAGCAATGACATTTTATTTGGCCAGGGTGTCTATGTGTTTACAGAACACAAGTAAGAGTGTAGCACTTCACTTTCCCTGCTGGAAAAAAATATAATAAAAAGGAGAAAAAAATGTATTCTTTTTACATCTCAATATGTTTCCTGCATTTTTTTAAAAGATAATTCTACAAATGATGAGAAAGGGAAGTTATGTTAAGGATGAAACTAAGGGTATTTTGGTATTATTTTTAATTACAAATGCTATACTACATGCCCCAGAGCTTGGTTCATCTGTAACATTTAAAATTTTTAATTTGCCAGAGGGCGTGTGTGTTAAGCCCAAAATGAGACAAGGAGGAGTGAGAGAAAG